TGGTTCTGAGATCACATCTGCCAGTTCCTTGAGAACCTTGGGGTGTAATCCATCTGGTCCTGGTGATTTGAACTCGTCTAGGCTGGACAGGTGCTCACTTACTGTTTTCTTGCCTATCTTAACTTGTGTTTCTATTCTGTTTTTTATGGCACTATTTTTGGTAGGTTGGTCTGTTTTTTCCCTTTCTGTAAAGACAGCAATAGTACAGTACTGAACAAATAGATACTTTTTGCCATTTGGATTTTGTCCATGTGAATTTAAGAGAATTTATATAGAAATTAAGCAAACATGGTGCCAAAATGACTCCCCTTGGCAGTTATAATTGGGTTTGAGAACTATCTGGGATGGCTGCATTTTACTCTGAATAAAGTTTGTTCTGTCAAAAAAGCTTATCAAAACCAATCTTTTATCAATGATGGAATTCTTGAATTTATCCCACATGTGTACTCTTGAAACTGAATCAAAGGCTGCCTTGAACACCAAAAGTGCCACAAATGGCTATTTTTACTGCCAGTGTATTTGTCTATTATATCCTGTGAAATCAGATAATGATCTACCATGGATCTTTGTTCTCTTAAAACCATTTGCTCATGCCTGGGAATATTATTTCACTCCTGCAAATCACAAAATGTACAACACAGATGTCTAGCACATAGTTTGTGGATAATATATAGCAAGCTAATTAATTTATGATTTAAAGCTTGCTTTCTATTATCATTCTTTACAAAACTGGAACCATATCGACCACACACACAGCAATTCCATCTGACTAGTGTGGTCTCTGAAAAGGTACTGTGGGAAGAATCCAGAGAAAGAAATATTTTGGGAAATATTAAAAAGGCAGAATATATTTCCCCAAAGGATTTTAAAGGCAGAAACCAACCCACCCACCCCAGTCTCTCTGCCCCAAACAGAAACAAGGTCTGCAGAAATGCAGATATGATAATCTTGTCAGAAAGATTGAAGTCAGGAAACTGGGATTAGAAAGAAAGATCCCTAGAATCAACAATCCCTCACACCAAAAAATCCAACAGTCATCAGCCACAGCCCCAGGGGAGCAGGATATGATCTTTGGGACATTAATAGGATTAACCCATCACCATCAGAATACCAGAAAAGTACACTCAGACTCAAGTCAAAGTTCATGCCACAGGAACAACTCCAAACAAAAGCCTAAGAAGGTATAAAAACCCACACCTTACTATATGTGGTCAGCTTTTTTCCAGAGCCATCTTTCCATTTGGCTCTCCTCTTCAATAAACTACAACCTTCTTTCTAAAGCAGTCTCCATGTTGTTTATTTCTGGCTTGGACTGGACCCTGATGAAGATTTTTCCTTCAACAGTACTTTGATTAGAGCATTGGCAATCATATGGGAAGGGCTTGTGTAATTCTGGAGGAGCTGCACCAAGAAATTTAGCTACCAAGTTATTAAAAGTAGGATGTAATCCTTGTTTACAAAACATTCAATAGTTTCTATAATAGTAACAAACATTGTCTTTTAAATAAATTAGAACATGACAAATATAATGCATGAGAATTATAAAGCTAGTAATATTTTTCCTAAATATAATGGAACTAAAACTTTAATCCAGTGCAGGTAGTTTATGAAGTTAGGTTAAGAATATATGATTATTTATAAAATGATAGAAAGGGCAATTGCCCTGAAAAATGTTATATAGGAACAGTTAAAATTGTTTCATTTTATACGAATACTTTTTTCCTTCTTACTCCATTCCTTCTTTTTTTGCCTGTGTAAGTTTTACTTTATTTTCTAATTTAAAATAGTATATCAAGAATAAACTATTTTATACTTGGCTTATAATATACTTGGCTCCAAATTCCCAACATGAAAATAAACCTATTTCCAACAACTGACATTCATCTCAAGATAAACAAAATAATGCCCAAACTACAGTTGCAATATTTCAGTTGCAATTACAGTTGCAATATTTCTTCACCTCGGAGCAGTGTCACCTTCAAACCATATTAGTAAGAGGAAATGAACAACAAAAAAAGTCCTTTGTCATCTGGTCATTGGCGTTTCCTAGATTTCAGCTAATGTAATGCCCACGTTTGCCTCATCTGTAGCGGTCACAGCCAGGAAGGGACTCCACCCGTGAAGAGGAGGATGGTGAGGAGGTGGTCACGGCCGCCCCCCCCCATAACGAACCGCAGGGGGACCTGAGCTCCTTGAAGCTCTCCTCTTACCAGAAGACAATATCCCATACCCACCCACGGGGCAAGAGGCAGATACTACCGCGAGGAAAAGAAGTGCCCCACCGCCCGTCGTTCGTACTCACTCGTAATAAGCAGGTCAAACACTTTCCCACCCCACGATGAGACGCGCATGCGCAGTTAAATAGCCGCCGCGAAACACCAACGGCCGGCGCGTTTAGCCACAGTCAGCGCAGACAACTACGAAAGAAGCGGCCGCTTAGTCTGAGGATTCTTTTCTTTCGAGCTCTGATTGGTCACTTGGCGATATTGTAGTGAAGCTGCCGCCCGTTTGAGTCGGAGAAGCAGGTGAACGGCGGGTGAGGCTTTGGGACGCGCGAAGGACGGAACTATTGGCGGGGGCGGCGCTTAAAGAAAGAGGCGGGACAGACGATAAGGAAATAGCAATACGAGCCTACCAGTTTAGGATTGCGTAGTTGCATTGTGGCGACGTCAGGAGCAAAGAAGGGAAGTTAAAAGCTATTATTATAGCGAAATCTTGCAAAGCGACTGTACGGCGGGCAGTATTCCGGCTCAGTCCTCTAGTGTAGCCGGTCCAATGTATTACATTTCCCTTTCCCCCCACCATGGCCGATAAAGCTGTTTTTTTCTTGATAGAACTACTCCTGCGGTTATTAACATTTCAGCAAATTTCGTTATCTTATTTCGTTTGGCTTCGTAAGGAATGGAGCGCCAAACAGATTGCTAGTGAAATTTTATGTACTGTATGATAAAACACGGAGCGGAGGCAATAAAGAAAAATCAACAGGATTCCCCCCCCACAAAAAAAGCTGGAGAACGTGGAAATGCGGAGGCGCTTATCCACAGGTAAAGAGGAATCTAATGGGTTTGTGTAATTGGATACACCTGGAAAGTAATGAGTTCACACTAAATCTAGCTGTGTTCGGTATTTCAAGAGATTTAATCAACAATATTGCCTTCCTGCTTGAGGAAAGAAAACTCCATTGGTAGAGGAAAAAAATCTAAGTTCTATTCCCATAACAGATATGTTAATGTTAAAACAATCATTTGGGTAAAATAATTACGTGAAACCCATATTTTGGCATTGGAGTTAGATTGACAGAGTCACTTTTCTAGCCATAGCTACATGCTGTGCTCTAAAAAAAACTCCCTTTTAATGACTACTTGTCTTACGCTTTCACCAACTGTATAACACCAGTTTCTAAATGTCATAATTATGGCAGGAAGCCAAATTCTAATCTTAGGTAAGATGCTAGCATGACTTCCATAATACCTCTCAAAATGCAATTTTGTAAGAAGTTCAATTCATTGGCAATCACTGTTCGCCAAACCATTATCCCAAACAATACATATTGCAAAAATTTGCTCACAATCAGTTTGAGCATAAGTTCCACCTATTGCCTCCATTGCTGAACCAGTACTTAATCTATGTTATTTGATATATTTTCATTTGCATAGTAATTATTTGTAGCAAACAGGAATTCAAGCTAGTAATTCAAGCTCAATTCCACCAGATAACTAAACTGCTTAATTTGCTCAGTTGAATTCTTACATCTGCAAGAAATTGTTTGCTTCCCCATTGCCAAAGCTAGAACTTTTTTCCTGTTTTTTCTGTAGTGAATAGACAAGTTTTCCTACTGCTGATACTTAGTAGGAAAAAGAGTTCTTCATGAAAGTCAAAAATGTCATTTATAAACTATGGCAAAATCTGGAAAGTTCATGACTGGGGATAGAGATTAAAAGTTGTTAGTTCTTAATGCGCAAATCAAATGTTATCAACTATTATGGTCCCTTCAGGGCAGGATGTCGATAAAATCTCTTGTAAATTTAGTAAATTCTCCATCCTTGTAATTAGCCCTCTTCTTATTTAGGAAGCAATAGTTGCACTTACTTCCTCAGTAATTTTTACAAAATCAATTCCACTATCTTTTCCATTTTGGTATTTAAATTTCCAACTTAGATAAAAGAAGCCATTCTCTTCCCCAATACTAAAATTAAAATTGCTTGTTGAAAGTAATATTTTTAGCTGTAGTGTTGAAATTAGCTGCAAGGAGCACAGCTGCCTGGGAGAATTGAGCTCCTGTTTGAACAATGCAAGAATGCGAACAGTCTACAGCAATCCTTCCATGAGTATCTAGGCTTTCCAGATGAAGTATAAACACTTATTTCATGAATGAACTTCTGCTGCTATTTATCTTTAAAATAAGGACAATGAGATCACCTGAGGGGTTTAAATTTATTAAGTGACTTTGGAATTCTCAGAACCTGGGAAAAAGAAGGGTGTTAGGTTGCGGAGAATTATAGGTTCAAAATATCTGCATGTTCCTCCTTTACCAAGTGGTCATCTCTTAGTAGTTTCAACAAGGTATCGAGACTTCCGGTGGCAGGCGATTTCGTCGGTCGCAGCTGTTTGCTGCCTCCCGCCTGTTTTGCGTAAAAGCCGGTTTGACAGCCAGCATCAGCTGTCAAACGGCTTGATACCTTTCCCCTGGGCATAAGGGGATAGGTGAGCTGCCCGGGGTAGGAGTTGAGTTCCCGAGTCGTCCTATATGGACGATGTAGGCG